TTTTATGCGTTTTTTACAACACAGTACTACAAAGAAAAATTGAGCATTGTAAATTCAGTCGAACCATTTCGCTCTCAGCTTCACTTAAGCATCAGCTTCATAAATAAGGAAGTACATCCCTATTTATAAAACTGATACGTAAGTGAAGTTGAGAGCAAGTAGGTTCGACTGGATTTACAAAAAATTCCACACAATTCCAATGTGTTACCTTCGGTAGCTTGCGACTGTGAACAGCACTTACATCTGCTTTTTTGCCTCCAAAATCACACAGAAGCAAAGGCTAATTCCATCACCATACACCCAGTCTACCCTCTTTTTGCTCAGTTCATATTCTACAATGGAATTTATTCACTTTCAGCTTCACCTAAACATCAGCTTCATTAACAGAAAAGCCCCCTACTAGCGATCGGTTTTTAAAGGACAATTCCCACCGGCATAGGCTCAGTTTTTTATGCGTTTTATGCTGTGTAACAACAGTACAAAACGAGTATCATCGCGGGGTTGTTTATGTGTGTGTCCGCAGCAACTCGCCCACAAATTTCAATTCCGGAACTACAAAAGCTAGAAGGCTTAAAAATTAGAAGGATGTTCCCCACCTACATGTGACCCCAAAAATTTAAATTCAGCCTCCCTACACGCGAGTTACACGTACGGCCCTGTAGAAGTGTTGGCGGGTAAAATTATTATCAAAGAAACCACGGAAGCTAGAAGGCTGAAATTTTGTGGGCATGTCCCATGCCCACGTACGATCCAGGAAATTTAAATTCAGCTCTCCCTTACCCGCGGGTAACACGTACTGCCCCGTAAATAGTTCTGGCAGGTAAAATTGTTATCTCGGGGACCACTGAATCTAGGAAGCTGAAATTTTAGGGTAATGCTCCCTGCCCATGTGCGACATTGCAAATTCAAGTTCGGCATTCCAGCTCTCTCAGATATCACCTATGGCCCCCTGAAAATTTCGGCCGGTAAATTATTATCTCGGGAACCACGAAAGTTGGGGACGTGAAATTTTACGGCGGGAACGCTATCAGCGTGCGACCCCCGTAAATTTGAATTCAACCTTTACGCACCTTTGGGTACCATGCACGGCCCCGTGAAAGTTTTGGTAGAGAATTTATTATCTCGTGAACTGTAAAGGCTATAAAGCTGAAATTTTAGCGTGCCATCCCCTGGCCACGTACAACTCCTCAAATTTTCAACTTCCGCGTGAGAAGTTCTGGTGAGAAAAATCATTATCTTGGGGAGCCAGAAGAGTTAGGGGGGCTAAAAATTTCAGGAGAGTGTTTCCCGCCTAAACAAGAGCTTCACAAGTTCGAATTCAGTTCCTAAGTATGCTGAGTTCTCACATACGAACACGTAAAAATTTCGTCTCAAAAAACATTCAAAAGCCAGAAAATTAGGAGATTGAAACTGTGGAAGAATATTCACCTTTCGGGGTTTCAAATTCCGCTTTCACATGCCTATGCGTGAAATTTCTAACTATTTTTCAACATTTCAACTACTTTTGCACAGGCCAAAGTGCAAAGCAGTGAAAATCATTAGCAGGCAATCGTTCGGTGGAAGGAACACAAAACGCGTGATCACACGGTTTTTCTGATGAGCGCTGCAATTTATTTTTTTTTTTGCTTTTGCTTTTATCCACATGTTCAGATTTTTTAACTGTTTTTTTTTTTGCTTTTATTCGTAGCCCCATGTTTGTTTTAATTTACTTTTTTTTGTAGTGGTGTGTAGTCTTTTCCTTTATTGCTGTCTTGAGTTTATGCCTCGAGCTCCTGACTTGTATCCTCGTTCCCTTTCTCTGTCATATTTCCAAATCCTGCTTGCAAAACAACATCGAAGTTTCTCTCCATCCCCACTATAACAGCACTGTGGAAGCAGGCAATATTTCAGTTCTTTTTTCTATCCCGAGTATTCGTGGCAAAAACCAGCGGCACACTTCCTCCTCTTTTCCATCTATCGTCCCTTTGTTCCCCCCTCCCCGGCCCTCTCTCCCCTCCAAGTGTACGTGAACTAGCCAACCGAAGCAGGATCTACGCCATGTAGCCGATAAGTCCATCTATCCCATTTCCCTCCCCCCTCTCCCCTAACCCCGAACGAACCCCGCAGTACACCACTTTCCCCCTTGCCCCTCCTCTTCGTACTTGCAACATTCAAATCCCAGACACTCACCGTGAGGTAGCGCACTCGGTAGTGCCGAAAAAATTTTCCGCGAATTGTGCATGGCACCGGCCAAGCCGAATTGTAATAATTACCATAATTGGCGTGGCATGGTCTT